TGCATAATTATTCGACTACTCATTGAGCTTCACTTATATTTTTCGGAGTAGTTTGTCGTTTGCTCTAGTGCTTCACTTATATCTTCTTAGAGCATGGTGGTAGTTTTATTTTTAAGAAATAATTGATCTCTCATGCTTCACTTATATTATTTTGAGAGTCTTTAGAACAGCATGGTAGTTTGCTTTGGTTATGAAACTAGTCCTAATATGATGGGCATCCAAGAGGGATATAATAAAAACTTTCATATAGAGTGCATTGAATACTATGAGAAGTTTGATGCTTGATGATTGTTTTGAGATATGGAGGTAACAATATCAAAGTCGTGCTAGTTGAGTAGTTGTGAATTTGAGAAGTGCTTGTGTTGAAGTTTGCAAGTCCTGTAGCATGCACGTATGGTAAATGTTATGTAACAAATTTGAAACATGGGGTGTTCTTTGATTGTCTTCCTTATGAGTGGCGGTCGGGGTCGAGCGATGGTCTTTTCCTACCAATCTATCCCCCTAGGAGCATGCGCATAGTGACGAGGTTTTTGATGACTTGTAGATTTTTGCAATAAGTATGTGAGTTCTTTATGACTAATATTGAGTCCGTGGATTATACGCACTCTCACCCTTCCATCATTGCTAGCCTCTTCGGTACCGTGCATTGCCCTTTCTCACATTGAGAGTTGGTGCAAACTTCGCCGGTGCATCTAAACCCCGTGATATGATACGCTCTTTCACACATAAACCTCCTCATATCTTCCTCAAAGCAGCCACCATACCTACCTATTATGGCATTTCCATAGCCATTCCGAGATATATTGCCATGCAACTTTCCACCATTCCGTTTATCATGAAACATTCATCATTGTCATATTGCTTAGCATGATCATGTAGTTGACATAGTATTTGTGGCAAAGCCACTGTTCATAATTCTTTCATACATATCACTCTTGGTTCATTGCATATCCCAGTACACCGCCGGAGGCATTCATATAGAGTCATACTTTGTTCTAGTATCGAGTTGTAATCATTGAGTTGTAAATAAATAGAAGTGTGATGATCAACATTTTCTAGAGCATTGTCCCAAGTGAGGAATAAAAAAGAAAGGCCATAAAAAAGAGAAGGCCCAAAAAAGAGAAAGGCCATAAAAAAAGAGAAGGCCCAGAAAAATGAGAGAAAAAGAGAGAAGGGACAACGCTACTATCCTTTGCCACACTTGTGCTTCAAAGTAGCACCATAATCCTCATGATAGAGAGTCTCTTGTTTTGTCACTTTCATATACTAGTGGGAATTTTTCATTATAGAACTTGGCTTGTATATTCCAACAATGGGCCTCCTCAAGTGCCCTAGGTCTTCGTGAGCAAGCAAGTTGGATGCACACCCACTTAGTTTCTTTTGTTGAGCTTTCATACATTTATAGCTCTAGTGCATCCATTGTATGGCAATCCCTACTCCTCGCATTAACATCAATTGATGGGCATCTCCATAGCCCATTGATTAGCCTCATTGATGTGAGATTTTCTTCCTTTTGTCTTCTCCACATAACCCCCATCATCATATTCTATTCCACCCATAGTTCTATGTCCATGGCTCGCGCTCATATATTGCGTGAAAGTTTATAGGTTTGAGATTACTAAAGTACGAAACAATTGCTTGGCTTGTCATCAGAATTGTGCATGATGAGAGCATTCTTGTGTGACGAAAATGGAGCATGACTAAACTATATGATTTTGTAGGGATGAACTTTCTTTGGCCATGTTATTTTGAGAGGACCTAATTGCTTAGTTAGTATGCTTGAAGCATTATTATTTTTATGTCAATACGAACTTTTGTCTTGAATCTTTTGGATCTGAATATTCATACCACAATTAAGAAGAATTACATTGAAATTATGCCAAGCAGCACTCCGCATCAAAAATTCTGTTTTTATCATTTACCTACTCGAGAACGAGCATGAATTAAGCTTGGGGATGCTGATACGTCTCCAACGTATCTATAATTTTTGATTGCTCCATGCTATATTATCTACTATTTTAGATGTTTATGGGCTTTATTATACACTTTTATATCATTTTTGGGACTAACCTATTAACCCAGAGCCCAGTGCTAGTTTCTATTTTTACCTTGTTTTAGAATATCGCAGAAAAGGAAAACCAAACGGAGTCCAATTGACCGGAAACTTCACGGAACTTATTTTTGGATCAGTAGATGCCTAGAAGACTTGGAGTGCACGTTAGGGGATCTACCAGGAGGCCACGAGGCAGGGGGTACGCCCTCCACCCTCGTGGGCCCCTTGTGGCCCCCCTGACGTACTTCTTCCACCTATATATCTCCATATACCCTAAAACCATCAGGGAGCATAATAAATCAGGAGTTCCGCCGCTAGAAGCCTCCGTAGCCACCAAAAGCCAATCTAAACCCGTTCCGGCACCCTACCGGAGGGGGAATCCCTCTCCGATGGCCATCTTCATCATCCCGGTGCTCTCCATGACGAGGAGGGAGTAGTCTCCCTCGGGGCTGAGGGTATGTACCAGTAGCTATGTGTTTGATCTCTCTCTCTCTCTCTCTCGTGTTCTTAAGGTGGTACGATCTTGATGTATCGCGAGATTTGCTATTATATTTGGATCCTATGATGTTTCCTCCCCCCTCTACTCTCTTGTAATGGATTGAGTTTCCCCTTTGAAGTTATCTTATCGGATTGAGTCTTTAAAGATTTGAGAACACTTGATATATGTCTTGCCGTGCGTATCTGTGATGACAATGGGATATCACGTGATTCACTTGATGTATGTTTTGATGATCAACTTGCGGGTTTCGCCCATGAACCTATGCATAGGGGTTGGCACATGTTTTCGTCGTGATTCTCCGGTAGAAACTTTGGGGCACTCTTTGAGGTTCTATGTGTTGGTTGAATAGATGAATCGGAGATTGTGTGATGCATATCGTATAATCATACCCAGGGATACTTGAGGTGACATTGGAGTATCTAGGTGACATTAGGGTTTTGGTTGATTTGTGTCTTAAGGTGTTATTCTAGTACAAACTCTAGGGCTGTTTGTGACACTTATAGGAATAGCCCAACAGATTGATTGAAAAGAATAACTTGGAGGTGGTTTCGTATCCTACCATAATCTCTTTGTTTGTTCTCCATATTAGTGACTTTGGAGTGACTCTTTGTTGCATGTTGAGGTATAGTTATGTGATCCAATTATGTTATCATTGTTGAGAGGACTTGCACTAGTGAAAGTATGAACCCTAGGCCTTGTTTCCTAGCATTGCAATACCGTTTACGCTCACTTTTATTATTAGTTACCTTGCTGTTTTATATTTTTAGATTACAAATACTCATATCTACTATCCATATACCACTTGTATCACCATCTCTTCGCCGAACTAGTGCACCTATACAATTTACCATTGTACTGGGTGTGTTGGGGGCACAAGAGACTCTTTGTTATTTGGTTGCAGAGTTGCTTGAGAGAGACCATCTTCATCCTACGCCTCCTACGGATTGATAAACCTTAGGTCATCCACTTGAGGGAAATTGGCTACTGTCCTACAAACCTCTGTATTTGGAGGCCCAACAACGTCTACAAGAAGAAGGTTGTGTAGTAGACATCATCCTCTTGCGTAGAACGATTTGGAACGGCCCATTTGTATTTCGAAATGACACCAGTCACGACCGACGGCTTGTTCCCTCCTACGAGCAGGGCGGGTGGCTCGGAGGCGATCGCCAGGCCAGACGTGCCCAAGTCCATGTCGACGACCTCCTTCTCCGTTGTTTCCCAAACACGTTGTCGGGCACCCTACTCCTTCCGGGAAATGTTCTCCGTCTTGCAAATGGCGATGGTGGGTAATGCGATACTCGACGTCGACATCTAGGACAACCGACGAGGACGACATCACGGACAGGGAGGAAGGGTGGAGGAAGGCAACAACTCAGATGCGAGAAATGAATGACGAACACGAGAGCAGGGCGGTCGATTAGATGGACTTTGTCAATTTGAAGCATATTTGGAGTAGGTCCGATCTGTAGGAGGACCCGACATGACAGAGGCATCTAGGCGTCCCCAAATTCGCCTCAGATATGTATTGGGTTTCACGGTTGCCGAATAACACACATGCTTGATGTGACTTTGAGAAATCTGGTTGGATGCCTATTTTGTGAGCGAGCACAGACCGAGTTGTTCGCTCGAATGTTTGGAGAAGGGTCTGCCGGTTGCAGATGTTCTTATGGTGCTAAACCAGATAGAGGAAAACTTGTTTCCTAAGTGAACTGAGCTTAGCTCAGATGGTTTGGTTCCTTGTGCTGGAACCAGTCCATGGGGTTCAAGTTTTAGACTTGATACTGTGTATGCATTTTTCTGGATTTATTTCAGTCATTTCTGCGATGTTCGTTCAGTGAGAGGAGACATTTTCGTCAAGTGCGAGACGTCTACGATGACTACTTTAATCCAAGATATTGTGCTGAGCCACGATTTGAAATGTGTTTATAGAGATCGAGTGTGCATACATGCATTTAAAGCAACCTATGCAATTCTAAATACCACCCGTTATCCAAAGAAAAAAACCTATGCGCCGCCGGTTCCCCGCCTCCCCTTCCCCTCCTCCCCTGCCGCCGCCGACAGCCGTCGTCGGGCTTGCTCATGCGGCGGTAGGCGGCGGCGGGGGCTTCCCCGCGCACCCGCCTCGACCTCTAGAGAGCCCCCCACCCCGCATTCGGCATCGCCGCCCGCTTCCCCTGCTCCCCTGGTGGCCGCTGAGGCCAGCCCTCTGCGGCGGCTGTAGCCGCCGGTGTTGTCGCCCCGCGCCTGCCCTGCGTCGAGTTGTTTAGGACAGATCCGCCCGTCAGATCCGGCCGCCTCGGCCCTAGGATCGGGGCCAGCTACTCCGATCTGGCGGCTGGTGGGCCCTCGTTCTTTGGATAACGTTTTTTTTTTGGAAGACCCCCGGTTGAAGTTCTTTCCCTTCCCTACAAACGCGAAGAAACCCCAAATCCCCCAAAGCCCCCAACCATGGATTCCACTGCCGACCTCAAGGGCAAGCGCCCTCTCTTGCAGCCTGACGACGTGTCTGCCGCCGCCGCTGCCGCGGCGGTGCCGGATGAGGCGGAGGCGAAGCCCTCGTCTTCTTCGGAGGAGGTGAAGGAGGCGGAGCCGGGGACAGAGAAGCAGGAGGAAAAGCCCGCCTTGGTGCTGGTGGCCGAGGACGGCGTGGAGGTGTGCATCTCGGAGCCCGCGGCGCGGATGTCGCAGATGCTCAGCCACATGATGGAGGACGGCTGCGCTGACGGCCGCATCCCAACCGCCAACATCCACTCCGACATCCTCGAGATGGTCGTTGAGTACTGCGAGAAGCACGGGCCGTTCTACGACCCCGAGGCCTCTGAGCGCGACCGGTACCCCTTCCCGCCCTTCCCCGTCGAGCTCACCCCTACCGTCTCCTCCATCAAGCCCGTCACCTACGTCGACCCGGACCCCCACGGTCTCAAGGACTGGGACAGCGACTTCATCTCCCTCGACAACTCCACCCTCTTCGAGATCATCCTGGTAAAGCGACCTAGCCGATTGTTTACATTCTTTGCTCTATATTCTACCCCAAGTAAGAAAATGCGATGAAATCGAAATCTTTATGAGTAGTATGTGTTGTGAATAGCAACGATGGTATATGTGCAAATAGAAGGAAAGTTCGGTCGGTAACTGTGCGCACAATGTGGAATAGCTCATAGATTTTGATAACGGTTGCAGACTCCAAACATGACTACATAGATAAAATAGTTGAACAGAAAAATGGCCAGTAACCATGATCATTTGGCAAATGGGGCAAATGTATTACTATGATTTTTCTTTTCACGAATATGCAAAAGACTTGTGTATTACTCCCTCCGTATCAAAATATAAGACGTTTTCTGACACTAAAAAACGTCTTATATTTTGACACAGGGAGTATTTCATTACTAGGGAGGTCATTACAGACACATACATGTGCTCATACAATATGACGCATACATGGGTGCTCAACGGAGCACAACCGGAGGAGTGCAATTGATTAAGAATCTACGACCTATGCGCATTATGATGTGAGAATCAGAACTACAGGGAACATAATGTATGGAATGTTTTGGTCATGATGCAAATTATAGATGTGAAATGTTGGAAGGAGCATCAATAATTGTCCAAAGAGTTTAATTAATTTTACAAACCACAATAAAATTGTATAGGAAGGAAGCAATATTTGATTGAACAGAGAGGAATTAAGAGAGATAGATAGAGGGAACGGGCATAGGAAAGTCTATGTGTCAGTGATTTGTTAGATCTGATGTGCACAGTGCAGTGAATTTTTTTGTGTGTGTTTGTGGTGGTTAATTGTAATGGTGGCAAAATAACTAGTGTGGTTTTTCTATGCAAGATATATAGATTGGGGATAAATTTATTTGATTGGGGTTTGTGCAGGCCGCAAACTACTTGAACATTGAGGATCTGCTGGACCTGGGCACCTCGGCTGTGGCTGACAAGATGAGGGGGAAAAAGCCAGAGGAGATCCGTGAAATCTTTGAGATCGAGAACGACTACACACCAGAGCAGGAGGCTGAAGTCAGGAAGGAGAATGCATGGGCCTTTGAGAACTAAAAGATGATGGTTGATCTATCTTTTGTCTATGCTGCTATTCTTGGTTTCAAGTACAAGTCCTTACCTCCAGTTCTGTTCCAAGTAGTTTGATAGATAGATAGATAGATGGATGAGTCGGTGAAAATAGAAAACTGAGAAGCACCGTATGGGTTAGTTAATCATTGTATACAGCAGAGTTTTGGTGTGAATTGTGGATGTGTGGATGGATGGTTTCGAAATGGTTGAATCGGCAGAACCTTAATGGCAACCTGTGTTCAATTAAGTTATACTATTCGCCAATTGCACATTTTTTGCAGTTAAGTTGTTGCTGGATCGTATCTTGGATAACCTGTTTGGTTACATTTTATTGTTGGTGTTGCCATGCTTGGCCTTATCTACGTATTGGGAACCTGTGTGTTGTACACAATTAATTCTGTAGAGTAGGACACAGTTGTTTGGTCTGAGCAGAAATTATCACCTTGAGTTTATAGATAAGTTGGAGAAAACTGCAGACTAGGGTACAAATTAAGCTTGTAACATATGATGCATGTTTTTTTGTGTAAATGTCTCCTGTCTGTTGAGAAATGTTTGTGGTTTTTGAGCAAGGCTTTGTAACAGGGGAAAATGCAGTATATACAAACTAGACTTGGTGCTTGTATAGTGTTTAATTTAATATAGTTTTGGCCATTTGAAACTTGGTAAACTATTCTATCTATTCGTAGTTTGTATTATCTTGTAGGCATGTATAGAATTTTCATATTAATATATGGCTGTTGCCTGCGAAGGACATTCATGTTCTAACTTGCAAGAGATGCATAGAAGATACATCAGGTACTAGCATCTTTCCATTCTGTGTTTTTTTGGGTGGCTTATGGCATTAAGCTTTCTAATTCCATTGTGCTACGCAATTCCATAGGAGCAATTTCACAGCTCAAACATTTCTGTGCCACGAACTAGCAAGATTTCCAGTCAGCTGCTGAGCAGTCAAACAAGAATAGCTGCAGTTGCAGGGAAGAAGAGAGAACATAAATCATGCATTGTGAAGAAGCTGCAGGTGATCATCACATGAACCAGGTCGACCGCAGGACCAACGCCGGAGTCCGCTTCTCCCCCTCCATGACATACACCAGGCCGGGCTGCAGCTTGCCGCCCCTGCCGAGGTTGAAGCTGAGGAATCCTTCCAGGTGCGGGCAGTGCGTATCCCCCTCCGCCGTGCCGCCCATCCTCACTCCCCATCCCAGCTCATGCTCAGGGGTGTCGGACAGGCAGCAGCCCCACCGCACCGGCCCACGCCCGCACCACCCTTCCATCTCAACCCAGCCTTGTGCTCTCATGGCTTCAAACAGCTCACACTCCACCATCGCAGCAGCGATTGACTGCGCAGGCCTGGGCCCCGGTCCTTGTGACGCAGGGTCTGTCCTCGGCATGGGAGCAAGAAGAATGTCCGGAGGAGTGCTCCTTTGTGGTTTTAGGCTGCCAAAGGGAATGGCAAGCGTCCCGAGGTTGTTGAGCCGGGACAACAGCGGGCGGATCTGCCATAGCCCCGACAAGCTGAGCTTGACATCTTGGGCCGGTTCGTAGCGCACCTGCCCAAACGTTGTCATGCGGTTAGCCACCCCATGATCGCCGTCCTGTGCCCCTGAACCGAAGACAAGCTCGGCGAGCGACACGGTGAAGTTGGACCCCCTCATACTGAAACCAGCGGCACAGTTGTGTTGTTCCGAGAACGAAGGCGGACCGTCGAGAGAGGCCTGGCTCCGGAGATTCTGACAAGAAAACCTCAACCGGATTAACTCGCCGAGATGCGCCAGTGGAAAAAAAAGATCTCTGGCCAGATGCTGGACATGGGAGACGTTACCTGGATCAAGCTCCTGCCGTGCAGGAAGCCGTTGCATTGAGCTCCGAAGGGAACCAGGATGATGGACAGCCAGTGGTTGACGTGGGCGCAGTACTGCAACCTGGTCAGCTCCAAAGGCCTCCTCTCGGTGTCTTCTTCCCTGACGCTCGCGCCTATCCCGAGCCTGGTGGAGAACTCTGCTGCAATGGTGTCGCTGCCCCTGGTCTTGGACTCCAGCACGAACCTGGAGTTGAGGCCCGTCCTGTTCCCCGCCTCGCCGAGGATCTCCCTGGCCTGGTCGAACTCTTCGTCGTCGACGAGGAGCAGCGCCCCGACCGCGTCAAGCACGACCTTCGCCCGGACCGGGAGCTCCGGGAAGTGGAACCCCTTGCCGCTCCTGCACATGGAAAGGATGCGGTCGATCTGCTCGTGCTTGTCCATGAGCCTCATCACATCAGGGAACGTCTCGCGCTGCAGCCGCTTCATGATTTCACCCTGCAGCCAAAGCCAAAGGCAACGCCAGTGAGACTACAAGATGCTCGGTCGTGTTGGTGAATCACAGTACGGCATTATAAAAGTTATACAGGATGGTTGCGGTGATGCTGCTGCTGCGGCGGCTGCTGCTGCTGCTGAGACGTCGGCGGCCCTGGAGGAGACGCACGTCGGGAGTTGCCCCGGAAGGCTCCGCGAATGAACGACTCCCCGGACCTGAGCAGACTCAGGACGCCGTCCAACACCGTGGGCCTCGGGTTGGCTCTGGCCGGCGGTGGTACGAGCGCCTGCTCCGGCACCGGTGGTGGCAGCAAAAGAAGCGGAGGAGGCAGCGCAGGGTCGGAGGAGGCCATGGCGGCGCTGTCGCGCTGCTGCCGCTTCCTTAAGGACACGTCACAGGTGGATATCCGCTCGAAGAAACCAAGTGGCGGCGCGTCAGGCTGCTGCTGCTGTGCCATGCTCCGCTAGAAGAAGGCGACCTCGGGAGACAGACCGGCGGTTCGCTTCCCGCCTTTTTCTTTTCTTCACGGTGCCTTCTTCGGTTATTCCCCTTGAGGCTTTTGCTTTTTGTCGCTTTAGCTTTCGCTTTTTTGTTTTATTGGTTACCTGTGTACTGTGCATTCAAAAGGAGAGGAGAGGCGTTTACACAGGAGCAAGCAATCGCTCAATCTCATATTGCAAAAGATCCGTTCATTTCTGGGTGCACTAGCAGTATGAGAATAGGTTTAGGGTTTCCCGTGAGGCAAAGCCTCTCCACGTTTTTCTATATATAATGATCAGCATATACAAATTACATACGTACATAATACGTGTACATGACACGCTAGACCTATTTTAACATACCCCCTCAATCTGAACTTCTACTCTGTATAAGGTTTAGATTGGTACTAAATCGGTCTAGCATCTGTCGAGTGACTGGCTTGGTAAATACATCAGCCAGCTGATCATTAGAAGAAATGAACCTGACCTCAAGAGCTCCAGAAGCAACACGCTCACGCACAAAGTGGAAATCAATCTCAATGTGCTTGGTGCGTGCATGAAAAACTGGGTTGGCAGTCATATATGTGGCTCCTAAATTATCACACCATAGAACAGGAACACGCTGCTGGGAAACACCAAGCTCCTTGAGTAGTGATTCTACCCAGATGGCCTCAGCAGCTCCATTTGCCAAAGCTTTGTACTCGGCCTTCGTACTAGATCTCGACACTGTCGGTTGCTTCTTAGAACTCCAGGAGATGAGATTGGGGCCAACAAAGATGGCAAAGCCTCCAGTGGATCGTCGATCATCAGGACACCCAGCCCAGTCTGCGTGAGTGAAAATACTAATGCTGGTGGAAACAGCCTTCCGAAACTTCAATCCAGTTTGCAATGTTCCCTTTACATAGTGCAGAATGCGCTTAACAGCTTCCCAATGAACATCAGTGGGCTGTGAGAGAAACCGGCATACCTTGTTCACTGCAAATGAAATATCTGGGCGAGTAAGAGTCAAATACTGCAATCCACCAACGATACTGCGATACCGGAAAGAATCATCGGCACCAAGAGGCTGTCCAGACACCCGTGCAAGCTGGTCGGAGGTAGACAACGGTGTGGAAGTGGGCTTACAATTCTCCATGTCCACTCGGTGTAAAAGATCCATGGCATACTTCTGTTGTGTCAAGGTCATCCCCCCTGAATTGTATGACGCTTCCAAGCCAAGAAAGTACTCCAACAGCCCAAGATCCTTGATAGGAAAGGTGGCCGCAAGTGAATGAACAAGACCGTCAACTGCACGGGGAGAAGATCCAGCAATAACGATATCATCCACGTAGACAAGCATATAGATCTGAACATCCCGATGGCAGAAGAAGAACAGAGAGGCGTCGACTCGGGAGGGAACAAAACCCAACTGGAGAAGATGGGAACTGAGCCGAGCATACCAGGCGCGAGGAGACTGTTTGAGTCCATAGAGAGCCCGCTGCAACTTGCACACATGAGAGGGATACCGAGCGTCCTCAAAACCTGGTGGCTGCTGCATGTAGACATCCTCAGACAAGTAACCATGAAGGACAGCGTTGCTGACATCAATCTGTCGGAGGATCCAGCCGCGAGACACAGCCAGAGCAAGAACCAGTCGAACGGTGGCCGGCTTGACAACCGGACTAAACGTATCACCATAGTCAATGCCAAGCTGCTGTGTGAAGCCACGCGCGACCAAACGAGCTTTATGCTTATCAATGGAGCCATCCGAACGATGCTTAGTCTTGAAAATCCACTTGCTCCCAACGACATTAACACCACGTAGACGAGGCACAATAACCCAAGTCCTGTTGCGACGAAGGGCGTCGAGCTCATCCAGCATCGCGGTGCGCCAAGCATGCTCACGGAGGGCATCGCGGTGAGAGACAGGCAAAACGTGAAAAGCACGGCGGCGAGGGTCGTAGTGGACAGTTCCATCAGTTGGGACAAGCGCACGACGAGTATGATCTCGGGTACGCGTGACCATGGTGTGACTCGGGGCAGCTAGAGGCGTCGCGGTCGAGGGGACATGGCTGCCCTCAACAGAAGGCGATGCGAGCTGGTTGGACGGTGAGGAGGGAGCAGCAACCTCCTGCACCGAGGACGGCGTAGAAGCAAGCGGTGAGGTGACCGGCGATGGGCCCGGGGAGGCCGGCGCGGGCGCTGATGATGGGCCAGGCGATGGGGCAACCAA